CCATTCCACATTCAACGGAAATTTCTCATGAAAATTCACTCGAAGTTCTCCTCAGCATTCGCTTTGTATTCTCCCGAAACTAGCATGGAATTATTCTAGAAATTCACTTGGTAAGCTTCTCTAAAAAATATCTCCAGAATAAACTTCCTCAAATTTTCGTTGGAACTATCTTCCAAATTCAATTTTCTTTGAATTTTCCTCGGAATTATTACATTGACATTCTCCTGAGTAAGAAACCCTTTGGAAAGATTCTCATACTTTTCATTGAATTCATTTCAGATTTCCTTTTGAATCTCACTCCTTCCCTTGGAATTCTACTAACATTGACAGTTTCCGAAGAATTTATTTGCCCATCTTCTCACAAATTCCTTACATTTCTCCTCATATTTTGTTTGGCAAACCCTCCTGGAATTCTTTTTCGGATTTCTTTTGAAAATCTCTTAGAGTTATGCTCAGATTTAATTGTAATCCCCTTTTTAGCACCCCCATAGCCCTAAGCATTCTCCATCTCCATCTCCAATTGCTCCGGATTAGTTTTCTCCCACAAATGTCATGAAATTATCGTCTCAATGACCTTGGATTTTTTTTTCCTGAAGTTCACAGGAGTTCTGCTCATAAGAAACTTCCTTGAGTTTTCATCCTTGAGTTTTCATTAACATTTATTTTGAATTCAATTCTGTGTTTTCTTGATATTCTACTCAAAACTATCCCAGGCTTCACATGAAATCTAAAACTCCTCAGAAGTACCTTGAAAGCCGAGTTTAAAGCAGATTGCACTTGATGTCCTATGAAATTATAATAAAATTCCATGAACCTTTAAAAACTGTGCAACAAATTTGACTTCAGATTCTTGAAAATTTCTTGATGTATTATAACTTTTGACTCCAGAATTTCAAAAACTTGTTCAAGTTTAAAATTTGTAGGAAATATGCATATTTCAGAACCAAAAAAAAAAAAACATTTCAATCCTCTAAATTTTAAAAATTTATTTGTTACTGAAGATTAATCTACTCTGGATATATAAAGTTCAATGTGTGAATGAAAGAAAATAACGAGCAAAATTGAATGTTTGTAGTTTGAAATGCATTCTTTTCTTTAAAATATTCTTAGTAATAAAATTATTAAATTGTCTGAGACCAGGTATTTAAAAAAAAAACTCTGAGGATTCACGGTTTTCCAGGTTTTTCCAGCTAGTAGACATCCTAGATAATACCGTGGGTTTGGTCATAAACTTTCTATTGAAAGAAGCGGAAGATTTAAAGTTTGAATTCAATAAGTTAAAAATCTATTACTTTTCCTCTCTGAGGTCACTTTATGACAACTAATAGTCACTATTTGGTCACTTATTTCTTCAACATGGTCACTAAAATCACTATTTTTGACAGCATAGATAGCTACCAGCCCTGTTATAGACATGTATAAACATGAGGGGCTGTTCATAAACTACTTTTGAGAGGTCTCTGCGTAGAAATTTGTCCATACTATTTTTTGGAAATATGTTGGACCATAGACATTGATCTACACTAAAACAAAAAAACACATTTTTGCATCTGAAAATAAGGTAAACCTTTGGCAAGAAAAGGGCTAATACCAACCGGTGGAAACTAACGATTTTAAATTGACTCAATACTTGACTAGCCTATTGGTCCCAAGGCAAATCGATTAACGTACCCCATTCTAGTCAAAATTCTAGTACTAACAATGTTTGTTTTGATTCGCTATGAAAATTTGACAGATAAAATGAGGGGTTCGTGGATTTTCCTATGTTTCTAGGGGTGCATCGATTAGCTTGGGACCGAAGATAGTACCAGAGCTGAGCCAAAAAGTTGAGCACGTTTCTCCGGGACCTACTAGTCTTAAAGTTACCTCTATGCTAATACTTAACAGTGATGGCATAATTCTCACTCAAATGATTTTTTTCCGCTCTCATGGGCTCCCAATATCACGCGTGAATTTGAAATGAAATATCAAGCATGATATTGATTTTACAAGCTCCTTTGATGTTGCGAGACTATTCACAACATGTAGAATTGTAGCTACGAGTTGGCTCTACAGAAAAATGATTCAGTTGCACATCGATTTCTTAGAAAGAGAAAGCATATTTTGCTATCTTCTTTGCTCTTCACATATGGCAGACACAAAGTTACTGCTGTCAGCAGTGATGGAAGTTTCAGTTCTTGTTCGGGTGTACAACAAAAATATTGAAGCTCAAACCACAGAGAACAGACATCTTAGTCAAATTCCTAAAGTGTGTATGCAATTTAACTGCTATTTTGAATAGACATTTGAAACTAGCAATATCGTGGTGGCGCTAGTGTCGCTGCCCGTCGACGTCGTTGACCGGCAGACTTTTTTTTTTCTTTATTAGAGAGATTTTTAGCCATCGGCTAGTTCATCTCTTATTGACCGGCAGACGTCATTTTAACATAAATGTCAAAATTGTTGTGAGCAAAACATTGTTTGTTTAAAACCGATCAAAACATGGGCCGCTAGTGCGAGTTTCATTGGTGCGCAAATAAACAAGGTTACCAAGCGAAAATCTTTTCAATTTTTTTCTAAGGATGATAAGTTGCCCGAACTACAGGAGATTTTCTTCTCACGTGGAATCCAAGCGCTTGCAACGAAACATTTATGGCTTTTTGAAATCCTGGATGAACGGATGCAGGGTAAGCAGTGTTCAAATCTTACCTGAATTTAAATGAGGGCTAATAAGAGTTCACACCCTCACTGAATCATTTGAAGATACGCCGCCAGTGAAATCAAAAAAAGTCAGTTTTGCTCCTGACTATTATGCCCAGTTAAAATTGGAACGTAAAACGGTTGTAGATCTGCAAGAAACTGTAAAAGAGCTTAGTTTTTTTATTCGAAAACAATGGTTCCACAGAAACTCGATTGATTTCCGTTGTTTTGTCTTGTTTGTTTTGAACTGATTTGACAGTTCATTTGGATACACGGTCAATAAGATCAACCCAGATTTTAGTTCAGTTAACTCATTAATCGCAACAAGTGGTAACTCGAGTCGCAACATTCCGTATGGCGGCGCTAGTGCTTCTAACGTATTTTAATTTGAATTCTTACACATAATTTTTCGAAAAAAATGTTTAAGCTTGGATGTCTGTTCTCTGTGCTTAAACTCACCACAGTTGGGTGAGAATTATAGTTGTTGAGTTTTGTAAGCGTGATATCAGAGCTACCATATCGCAGTTTGTAATATCATCCACTGTTGTTTGCTTGTTGATGTTTGTTTACGATAATCAAATGAGATTATGCGCATTGATGAGATTTGATATTTTGATATTTTTCCGACACTGATAGCCAATAATAACCTAGATACAATTGATATTTTAATCACTCTTCACCTATAATGAGAGAGAGAAGGATTACTATTTTCCATTTAATTTCACTACTTTAAAGTAGTGGAATTAAATGGAAAATACTAATCCTTCTCTCTCATTATAAAGGTATTCCACTAAGACGCCCACATTCATCAGGATTCACTCTTCACTTATTAAACGCAACAATTTGTTGAGTTTTATCGAACACATCATATCAAGGCGACTGGCAACTTTGTCAGAATCCAAGCGAACGATACAATAGCGCTGCGCTTGAGTGAAGGTGGAAGCAACGCATAGAAAAATGAGCAAATTCACAAACCTTCTTCTGAGGATGCAATCTTAGCTATCAAATTCGTTCGAAGCATTTACCTTTCAGCGGCAGATGACGCGATTTTATTTGTCTCTTAGCAGCGTTCGTATGAGAAAATGGAAGAGTTGCCAGTCTTCTTGATTTTTTGTCATCGGTTTTATTTATCATGGATACCAGCAACGTTGCAGCTGGGCTGGTAAAATTTCATATTAGTACAGATAGCTAATTTTTCCGTGTTATTACGATGAACAAAATTTTCACTTTTCCCATAGTAATTCCTATATAAACTGCAAAGGGCTAGTAACTTCGCATCCGATTGAGCTCAAATTTTTAGAGAATTATCAAGACCTGATTTAAAATCGATTTAGTTTAGTGGAGCAGAAACGAATTTTTGAACCACCCTAATGGATATGTTTGGTGCTAAAACGCTGTACAGACTGGAGAGTTATAACGGTTGTCAAATAATTGCAACACAGAAAGCACCATCAAGATAGCGCTATAACATGTTATAACCCTGTAGTCTGAACGTACTATAAGACTGACTACCGCGAAGGTACCATTTTTGACGCGGTCCCAACTCGACGCACTCAATAACTTTCAACTATTGTCCATTATTATTTTTGAAATGTTATTTACCAGTACACATAGAGGGAGGAGAGGCATAGTGAGCAGGTGGGGAATAGTGAGCAGGTGTGGGCATAGTGAGCATCCCGAAGCTTGGTTCTGGATCCCCAGCTGCATGAAACAAATCAACTGGTAGTAGGTTCAATATCATTATGATATTGATCCTGCCACAAACCAATTCGTTCAGAACGGCCGGAAGCCCAAGCTGGTGCACGGGATGCTCACTATGCCCCACCTGTTCACTATGCCCCTCTTACCCCTATTAGTTCGCATACTCTAAAGGACGACAGTGTAACAAAGTTTTTTAAAAAATATCTCGTCAAAATCGAAATATTATTAAAAATAGACGAGTGTGTCATCATAAGGAACCCCGTGATCAACCCGTACATAGGGGAAATGGCTCTAATGTTGGCCTATGGATCTAAGATTGGGTCCATCACTAAAAATCTGCTACAATTTTATCTAGATGAACGCATCATTGAGACGGTACTCATGGATATTTTTATTCGCTATTGAAAATTTAGTCGATTGCTGAATTTATGTATGGGTCCAAATTAGGGGCACTTAGGCCGACATAACATCCATTTTCCTTAATTATGATCTTTTTGTGAACTGATCTAGTTATCTCAGTTGAACCACATTGTACAACCGTTTTCGGTTTGATGTACGATCACTATTGGTAGTGGGGTGCCTACTCCTAGTACCTAAATGACCGATCATCTTTCACTCACCAGCTTCTGCATCGAGCTAGCCGAAGCAAACCGTCGCATCGCCCCACAAGCCAGTTGGTTCCTTTTTCCATTGTGATAGTTCAGTATCAAATTCACATACTTGGGTGTCATCTTGACCAGCATGGGTCGGCTGCAGTTGCCTCCGAATCTATATCCATTGCACGCTATGTGGCGAGTGCCCACGGGACACAGGTCTGCACGACAGTAGTCCAAGGTTTTCTTGGCTTCCGATAAACCACCGACGAAAGCCAGCAGAATTGTAATCACTAGTGTGGTAGTCTCCACCGTCCACGGTAGCGTGAAACTATCGTTGCCATATCGACAACGGCGGCAAAGACGACAGTGATCCGTTTGCGTACACATTGCGACACTAATTGACAGCACGAGTGCACTTCAGAACGCGTTGAGGTGTTCGAGTTGGAACGACGCCACCCCCCGTGACAATGGATCGTTTGTATGGGTTAAGCTCTGGGGAACAATTTAGAATACAGCGTTTGCTGAATATCTCATTGTGCTTGGCTAGGGTGCTTTGTTTTTCGTAAGTGTTATTTGATCAATCTCTTATCAATTTGAAAGTGAAAACACTCGAACAACCACCCGGACTCCACACTACAATTTCAGTGCGACGGCTCGGTGGACCTTTTCTCCAGCACTTGACAAAAGCACGGTGCTTAGAGAAGGCGTTTATCGCCGCACTCATTAGACAGGACAAGTTTTGTCAATAAAGCTGACACCTCCCGTCCCACACCATGCGGCTTGCGCTTGCGTGTAGGATATTAAAATTCAAGTTCATTGATCATTTTTCGAGTGCCATAGACAGGTGATTCTGTGCGTGCATTTTATGATTGTGCATCGCAAAGGGTAACGTGAACCGGTATTGTCTGATGTTGGTTTATTTATGCGTACCTTGTAATCTAATGGGATTAATTGAAGCGTAATTGCTTCATCATTAGTTTGGCGGTTCCCTGTTGTTGTTTCGCTGTGGATTATGATTGATTGAATACTTTGCTTGGATTAAATGGTACCGTCAGTGTGTCACATTTTGCGCGGTCTCCATATCTATGGTAGGTAGCTTTCCCACTAAAAAAATCAGTCTACTGACAATGTGTAATGTTGTTGATGTACATGTGGGAGTTGCGCGTTCCGGGATGGTGTGGGCATGACTGTATTATGATTCCAACGACGTTAAAATGTTTGAAGACATCGCAATTTTTTGATTTTTAAATGTCTTACTGAGTAAAAGTTTGAACGAATAATTTGGATGTTTTAAAATATAATAAGGTAAATGTGTTCAATTCTTCGTTGTTTTCTAATACTACCACAAGTAAGGAAAAGCTTTCTATAACAATTAACAAATTCTTGGTGGTGGCGGTAGTGTTTCGAGTTTGGTATATGTACTCACCAAGTCAAGATCTGTCGTTCGAAATGTTCTCCAAATGTATAGTCTAGGATTAAGTAGAATTGACCTTCCATTTCAAATTTCTTTCCCTCTTTCCTTCCCACCCAGCGCCTGGAGGAAACATTTGCCCAGCAGCACGAGGAAATGGAACAACTGTACGGCAACAGTGTGGTACCGATGCCACCGCAGTCTCCGCAGGCACACGATCTGCTGCAGATTGGCTCAACCCGCAGCAGTATTTCCTCCTACTCGGACGGTCTGGGAGCATGACAGAGGGGGAACGGCGGCTGTAGCACCAGTGTCAACAGTCGCCTCAAGCGGTGAGGCGAGGTAATCGGTCAGTGTTCAGGAAGATAGTTCATTATTTCCCACAGAGGAAAACTGTATAGATAGGCGAAGTGTGGAGGAAATCAGTGAGATAAGCAATCTATCATACGAATGAAGCACCTTGTGCAATTAAAGCCGACATCTTGTGATCGGTTGGATGCTGGAGCAGAACGGTAGAAATTAATGTGTCAAAACGGATCAAGTGCAGCTATACAAAAGTTCGTTAATCGATTGCACATATGTGGTTTTGTTTTTCCCCCTAGTGTTAAGTTCAAAGTTGCGATACGTTAGGATCTACTTAACCAAAACCTAATTTATACGTTACTCAAATCAAGCAGTAACTAGATTTTAGCTAAAACATTCTGCTAAAATTTCCCGGTGGAATCAATATAAGCAAATTTGCTACATTTTGCCAATTAATTGTGTTTTAAATATTTATTACACATAACAAATAACCGCAATATCTTCCAATCAAACCAAGAAATGCCAAGTCTTCAAACGCCTCTTCAAAATAGCATTCTTTAAACGCGCAGCATTTAGGATATAGCCGCCCATTTTTAGCCTACCGAATAATGCTATTTCCGTTGCATTTGTACATATGTATTTTCCTTTACTATGTTTTAGATTTTCGTTTTATATAATAAACATTATTTTAACAGTGATCATAGTTTGGATTTTAACTCGTCTTTTGTGTTGTCTACACACAATTTGTACACGTTGCTTCTTTCAATTCTTTATGATTGAACTAAAATAAAAATGCCATTATTGAACGACTTCTTGGTCTAGCTAAATCGTCCTTTCCAGAATACGTATTACAAAACGATACTTCCGTGCAAGTAGTTTTTCGCGTGGCTCAAGAGGCGAATTTCCTTTAATTGCAATCTTCCAACAAAACCGGTTTCGGCTCAATCGGTTATGCGTTGAAAATGATTTAGTTATAGTTACGATTTGATTACCTTTAAACTAAAACCCACACAAACACAACACCCTCGTGAACTGTATATATTTTGATTAGCAACAATAGAAACCCGTTTCTAGATTCATTGCTACCACAGATTAGAGCAAATAAAAAAAAATTTGAATCATTTTCGCAATCATTAAAAAAATAAACACGAAATGGAAATTCAAACTAATCAACAGCTGATCAAATCGAACCATTTTGTTTGGTAACATTTACGAGAGACAGACTTAATGATAGATTGAGAGACATTATATTAGATGATCAAATTGATGCAACTGATGATGGAAGTATATAGGAATGGAAAGTTGATAAGAATATATAACAGTATACATATACATAGATAATGAAATAAAAAAAATATTTTTATTCAGTATTTTGCTCGTTCATTGTTCGTATTCTGTCCGAAATTTCTACAATGGTACCTCTACATAACAAATTACAACTGTTTAAGTCGTCCCTGACATTTGCTTGCGTGGGTCCTGTCTAATTTAAAATGGCTCGAACTTGAGTAGTGTTTTTCCTTCCTGTTCTAGGGTCTACACAGTAGCTTGACAGTACATATTAAAGAGTAAAGGGGGTGGTGGGTTCTTCAATATTATACATAAATTGATAAAAATTACTACACAGTATGTATGATGTATGATCCAAATAAGCGATTTTCGAAATATGGGAATTCTCTTCTTTTAAAAACAACCTCAAAACTGAATTTTAATTTTAGTTTATGATGTTGGTTCACTCGCAACTATTTTTGAAAAAATTAAGTGTTTTCGAACGAAAGTGTACCATAAGTGCTTCTGAACGTGTTTCGCAGTTGGGTGTGGTGAAATTCGTGCATTCCCGTTTCTTTGCACGGGTGACGGATATTGTGAGTAAGCTGAAGGATGTCTCGCTGGATACGCCCAAGACTGGACGGGCGGTAGCTGGTGGCCGTGAACGATTCCTGGGGAAAGCACTAGATGCGAACCTCCTCCCAGATCACCATGGCAATACAGGAAGTATTACAACAAAGGTAATTGCTATTCGATATTTTGCAAACAGTGACAGATAGCGGACATGAAGAACCAGTGGAGGTGCCGTGCAAAGTTGTTTATCCTAGACAAATGGTAAGTTACAAATTCTCTGTTGTCGTTGTCGTAGGCTCCGTCGTAGTCGCTGTTGTAATCGCCGTCCTAGTCGTAGGCAGTACCGTTAGTGTATTTAAAATTAAACATCAACCGCTGAAAATATGAATTATCGCGTATTTCTGTTGTTCATTACATTCCAAGTGAAATTCGAGAACGTAATTTCATTTGAATAGCTTGTTTAACCAGGCATGGAAAATCATTTACATTCATTTCATGCATTCATTTACATTCATTTGCCTTTAACTTTTTTCATCAACAGCATTCCGCGAAATGATGTAAAGAGCTTTTGTAGGTTTTGTTATAAGCTACAAGTTTTGGTCATAACTCAAATCTGTATCTCTTATGCACCACGAACTAGAACGGGCAGAATTTGTTACTGTTTTTCAGTGAATGTAAAATACATTCACTGAAAAACAGTAGTGGCTTCTGTTCGCTCTGGTTCGTTATACATAAGAGATACGGATTTGAGTTGTTAACAAAAGTTGTAGCTAATAACAAAACCTACAAAAACTCAAAACTTCATTTTGTGGAATTTTGTTGATGAAAAAAGGAAGGGACAAGTGAATGTAAATGAATGCACGAAATGAATGCACGAAATGAATGCAAATGATTTTCCATGTCTGTGTTTAACCAGGTCTTAAACAATCGTCACGTCGGTCATAGCTTGTTATGATTGTCTGAACCATGCGTAAAGAGAAAATCGAAACATTGAACGTCGCGTGAAAGTGGATCTTGAAGGCCTAAGTACTCTTTCGTAGCTTTTAGTTTTAGGATTTCAAAGATCGTCGGTTGCAGTGGCTTGCTTACTCAGGAGAAAAACGCGGTCCCAGATCCTTTCATATTAAAAATGCATGGTAAGATCGCTTGTTTATCGTGTATTTTGTAAAACTTTTCGTTGTCGTCGGTGCCGGGTTTGAATAGTTATAAAAACTTGAGTACCGCTATAATGTGATATGAGAGGCTCGGTGGCCTTAGAGCTACCGTTTTTGCTTACTGAGCAGAACATCATGAGTCTAATCTCAAGCCCATCCACATTCAAGATTCGTCAATGATTAAAAAGGAGCTCGTCTGCCTAGTGGCAAACGTTTTTGCTTACTGAGCAGAAGACCGTGGGTTCAATCCCAAGCTCCTTCGCGTTATACGATCGTTAGGACATCAATTCAGCTTATCGTTCACCAAAACGAACCCTGCTGCTAACCCAACCCTCTTACCCAACATCCCTGTGATTCCTCGTGGAAGTGCAGAGGACTCCTCGGCTTCCATCAAAGCGAGTGTCACGTCAACACATTCCTACCCATTCCTTTCTTGACCTGCGTTCAGGCGCTGCTGGCGCTGGTATTGCTTAATTCGAGATCACCAGTTTTTACACATTGAGGATGATTGCTAGTCCCAAGCATCGTCTATTGGTTCTCTGTGTAATTACAGCTGATCTGGCAATAACAGAGTAGCAATCGTGGGCGGTCAATCATGCTCATGCTCATGCTCAAAACAACCTCAAAACTTTAATTGTTTTCCGCTGTACGTGTAATTACGATATTTTTTTTTTAAATATTTCACCACTACTAAATAAGCTTTAACTGATCCGTGCTACTATTTTATGATATTTAATTTCTGGAAAATAATATTTACTTCTTCTAATTATGTTGAACCTCTTAACGGAATCCCTTTATGAGATCGGGAGGCAAGGCAAGCGACTGATGATCGGAAGGTACATGGTTCGAATCCCATGCAACGACATGCATGTAATACATTTTCTAATATACTACACATAATCGTATATCAGTCCCATCTTTGTTTGATTTCCTATCCATATGGGACTGATATGCGATTATGGTGCATTGCTAGTCTGAAAAATGAAAACAATCACCAAAGAAATAACCACAAACCCTATCTTACCGTTCTTATTTTCGGAATAATTTTCCCGCAATTGAATAATCGTGTAATAAATGTATGGTAGTTTCTACTTAAACGTTACTTCAACTGACTGACAGTCCGAGCGTATACCCGCATCGCTTTTTAGGGAAGCAGTGATGTCTAATAAACGCTGAACAATCAAAAATTTGATCGAATAAGCTAAGCTCTGTTACAACTCATGTAAGACGAATAAAAGCTTCTCAAAATACCTTATACAACATCAAGTAGTTAGTTAGATGTTGTGGTTGAATTTCCAGATTTGTGTGTGAATATTATTAAGCTAAGGAATTACCCTAATGTTTAGTTCTTAAAATTGTGTTACAGTCGATTACTAAATGAAATATCAATCGATTTTAATAAAACCAGTTTCATTTCAAAGCTAAGATTGTCCTTCATAATCGTAGGTATCAAATCGAAATTAAAATTCTTATGGTTCAGCAGTACCATTTTCAGTAAAAACAATAAAAATATGTGAAAATAATACTTTTTTGGTTGGGTTTTTATATGCAAACTGAATAAATCATATCATTTCTAAACGGAAAAAATCTCGAGGAATCGAATAAAAGAGGTTTAATTCTGGTAAAAATACGGGAAGTTGGGATTTAAGTGGGTTTTGTCCTCGAAGACCCCTATTTTATCATTAAATGGTTAATATTTATGATTTAATTATAATATTATTTTCAATTTGATAAAAAACGATTATGAAGGACAGTCAAAAAAGCTAACTTTTGAAGTTTAAATATCCCATCATATCCAGCGGCGTTTTGAGATATTGAATTACATGCCTTTTTATTTTAATTTCTCATTGTGCATTGTGCAGTTAGTCTAAAACCGAAGACAACATATCAAGAAAACTGGCAACTTTTCCTGAA